AATCACGTAATGGTCCTTTTTATCACAGAAGGATTTATGGTATAAGACCATTTATGCTAGCATAAGGAAAGCAGAAACCCGAAGACCAGTTGTGACTCCCAAACAAATTTGTTGAGACTTTCCTTTTCTTTACCTTTCAGTCATCTAGTGCTCTCATTAGCATATAAGTCTTAAATGCATGCAGCTAGAGGTGGTTAAATAAAATGTATTTGGCCATCTCCCCCTAATGTAATATCCGAAGGGATGACTCATCCCCAAAAGATAGCCCATCCTGATTTTCGGCGTGATTTTCTATTTTCCTCACCGCTTAAGTTTAACTTAATTTTGCACATGAAAGGTTATAGCCCAAGCCTTATTTTCACCTAATGTGCACTCGTTTTTAGGGGGGCTATCTCTCTGGGCATTACTATAAATAATTCCAGACAGCTAGGCCTAGGAGCCTAGGGGCGCATAAGTAAACCAATAAATGCAAATAAAGACTGCAAAATCTACAATAGGTTCTTGTACCGAGGCTTTTTGAAAACTTGTGGTGATAACATGCTTGTTTTTAAGGCTAATGTATGCTCTTTTCGTAGCTCTTCTCACAGATGAACAAAGATCAGAATTATTTTAATCATGGCTTCCTTAACTCATCAGCTCAATGTTGCAGATTGTCTATGACTGTCATCACATTACGCGAGTGAAGAAAAGCCACACATCCCTCATTTTCATAGTTGACTGTGTTTCTAACGGCCAGATACTGTTTCAGTTTCCCGAAGGCTTGTCGGAGAACCTAAAGAGAAATTAGTACTTGCATATACGTCCCTTGAAGATATATGAATGCTGCAGTGTGGCCCCCGAGGCATTAATTTTTTCTCTCCCCTAATTTATGAAATATTCGGATGAAGAGGCCATTTTTTTTGGTAACATGTCACCCTATTCTGCACACTGTCCAAAGTACCTTCCACTTCAATAACATTATCCTGACAAAAAGAAAACACGAAATGAAACACGAACAGCGGACGCAAGGTTTCCGTAAGATGCTGCACCGCCTGCATTAGATAATGCGGGCAAGAGTGTGGCTCCTGCTTTAATGTGTTAGACACTTGATCGGTGTGTCTCAAGCCTCAGCATTGTTCTTCTAAGTGATGCAGCACGAATCGAAAACCACACACCCAATATTTACGTTTTAGTTCGTGTCAACTGTACATAACTGAGCGCTACCTGTTGTGAAATGTCCAAGAATGCACAATCATAAGTTTAGGTATGTTAAACAAAAACATATTAGTTTGTTTTTGAGAAGCATGCAGTTAAAAGAACAGGTTCCCGTAAAAAATGGTGATCTTCTCAAGGTCCTACCACGCTATCTCACGGGCAGCAGCTGGTGAATTAGCTTCCGGTACTAATAAATGACGACATCAATGGAGCAGCAGGCGCAGCTGCAGTGCCGGCTTGTCCTAAAATAACTATAAAGCAATTATCCCGCCCTAAGAGTAGTGCAACCATGAAATGTGTGTTCAAAAAGAAGAACGAGCGTCTTTCTCTGTGACGGTCTTTCTCTTTAGTGCTCTTTTGTGCTTCAAATGCTGTGCAGGGGATAGCTGAGCATATTTTTGGCAAAAGCTCTTGTACTTTCCGCCACCAGACGCCATGCCGTGGCATGTGGTATCATGGCGAGCATGCCAAGGGCCGCACAGAGCAGAGCACTTGCAAGTTGTGAAGGTCCAACAACAGCAGAAAGAACACCAGCGGAGCGGAAAACGCCGCAGATGTGATCAACAGCATTAGTTCATCTCCATTAATTCATAATTTTGACCACTGATTACTTCTCGTAAAGAGAGTTCATGTCTAAGCGGAGCGGAAAACGCCGCAGATGTGATCAACAGCATTAGTTCATCTCCATTAATTCATAATTTTGACCACTGATTACTTCTCGTAAAGAGAGTTCATGTCTAAGCGACAGATGATCATGTAAACGTAACATGATCGCGTAAATTTATGTGATCGCATAATGCAACCGAGAGCGGGGTGCAACTAAGGTCGGACGAACACCAGCACTGTATAAGCTTGCACACCACCGGCTAGCTTGTGAGCGGCTCTCGAGCATGTAAACCACGCACCCCCCACGAGGCCTGCTGACGTAGCCTTCAGCAGCAAATCTAACGCTCAAAACGTGTACGGTGATGGCCAAGAGGGCTGAAGCATTCTGTTACCGGTGCTCGTCGAGTTCGGACGCACGAATGGCTGGCTCCGACGGAGCTGTGACAGCGGCCTTTTCGGGCCGTGGTATTGCGGCAACGGTTGTTCCCCAGGATTATCGTATTCTTCTGCCTCGTCTGCCGACAAGTACTGAAGTTTTTTTTTTTTTTTTTTTTTTTTTTTCATTGCGACATCTTTAGGCGGCCATGCAAAATAGATGACTTTAAATCAGGGCTCGAAAATGCTGGGGACTTAAAAGACCTGAAAGCTTGTGGTTCGTTTCAAATGAATCACGTGTAGATGGCTACCTTCCACTCGCTGGCAGCCAAACAGAAGACTCTGGAAGCCAAGGAACTTTTGGTGAAGGAGAAGCGGTGTCTCGTGCTCGACCCCAACAAGGCCGAGGTGCGGCTGAAACTTCATTGGGCGCCGTGCGACGTTCCTGACGATGCCATCCGGAGGGCTCTCGAGCCCTCCGGGAGAGTCGAGGGCATCACCCGAGAAGCCTGGCACGAGGACGGTTACCAACGCGTGGAGTCCACCACAAAAGCGGTCCGGCTAACGCTCAAGGAGGGCGTCACTCTAGAGAAGGCCCAGCATCAACTGCGCCTTGTGCACGGTACTGCCTTCGCAATCGCCCCAGGGCGCGCCCCCATGTGCTTGCGCTGCCGACAAACTGGACACGTTCGACGACAGTGCAAGGTGCCGCGGTGCAAACTTTGCCGCCGCTTTGGACATGAAAAAGAAGTTTGTATTAAGACATACGCCACGGTCACAGATAACGGAGCCACCGATGAGCTGACCGAGCACTTGATGAACGAGGACTAGGCTGAGGTTGCGGCGGGAGGTACCGCTCCCGTCAGCGCTATCAACAACCCGTCGCCGTTCGTCTTGGATGCTGCAGGTCCTGCGAACACCGCCCCCTCTTTCTCTGCATCATCGCAAGCAGAGCCCATGCAAGCTGTGACGGCCAAGAGGCAACAGAGCACGGCCGATAATGACGGCACCGTGCCTCCGGAGGACCTCTCCCCAGCCAAAAGCGACAGACGACCGGACACGACGAGGCCAGCTATCCGATGGAGGTAACACCGCCAGAAAAGCTCAACCCGCCGAGGACCATCCAAAAGGCGTCGAAGATGCAAGCGCGGATGAGAACAACAAAGGGATGCCCAATCACCGCCTCAAGTGGAAGGTCCAACCAACGGAGGCACCGGTTCGACCCAAAGCCACGTATTCCAGGGGTTCATATCACAAGAGCGAATGACATTTTAGCGAACAGCGACATTTGAGCGAATGGACGTTTTAGCGAATAACGGGGACGCGCGTTAACCCATCCGTCGCGCTGCGCTTTACGCCACTTCGCGGCGACAGTCTGCGGCAGCTCATTACAAAAATATGAACCCACTTGGCCCCCCGAAAACGCCGCTTCGCGGCGTCCGACTATTCGCTAAAGTGTCGTTCGGTGAAACGTGGGCGTTCGCTAAAACGTCATTCGATCAAGTGAGTGCCTCCCTTTTGCGACTTAATATCCTCACATTAAATTGCGTGAGCTTGATTGTTCGAAAGAGGAAGCAGTGGCTGTTAAATACGCTCTTGAGCAAACGAATTGACGTAACACTGCTCCAGGAAACGAAGCTCACTTCCAGACTCGTTGAAGCGTCAAAATTTTTTAAAAACATCTATGTTTTTCGTCATTCTTGTGTCGTTTCAGGCAGTGCCGGCGCGGCAGTCCTTGTGCGAAAGCACAAAGGCATAGCAGTTCCTCCAGATTTGGAGACGGACCAAAGCGGTAGGGTGTGTGCTATAGATATGCTATACCGGAACCACATATTTCGAGTGGTCGCGGTTCACGCGCCGAATCAGCCCGCGGAAAGGAAAGCCTTCTTTATGACTCTCCGCCAGTACGTTAGCGCTTCGGCATCATGAATGATTATGGTAAAAAAACTTGTAGTAGTTTACTTTGAAAGTACATTGTATTTATAGTACTTCACTTCAAGTACCCATTGCATCCTATGTACTTACTACTTTACTTAAAGTACTTCATCTCATTTACTTTGTACTTTACTTGAAGTACTTTTTAGATGTACTTTAGCCAACACCGCTTTACCAGGAGCATGCCCTTAAATGTAGATGCTGCGTTATGATGTGAAATTGAGTTACGACACTTTAAAATCACATAAAAAAGGCTCTTTTTGAATAAATATAAAAAATGTGTTTGTACTAATTAAGGAAAAAAAAAAACAAGTATGGAACTGCACGAGTCCTCCATCTATTCATAAAAAAAAAAAGAATGTGACGAATACATTAAAGGACTAGAAATTTGGAATGTGTAGAGGTATGTCTGAAAATATTAAAACTCACTTTTCGTTTTTTTTATTGTGGGTTAAGTTTTGAAAAATGCATGTCACATTTTGCACTTAGACAGTGACGACAAATTGGCCACTTATTTGTAAAAAGAACGAAACATGTGGCATGCGCACAGATGCGACATTTGCACTTCACACAGGGGCGTTAGCACAGCTGCCATTGGTATTATAGGAAAGGAGCGGACAGAACTCATACCCTGACCAGGGCACCCCTAGCAGCAAACAGATCATTTTCATCGGTACATCCTTTTTAGCCGCTGCACACAGATTACTGTTGCTCAGGTTCTGTGCCACGGAAAAAGATTTTCGAATTTATTAGAACTTTACATTCGTCGTAATTATGACGAACACTAGGCCCGCGCTATTCGTCACAATTGCTTCCCGCCGTGTAGCCGGCGACAACCGCTACACGGCAGATAACAATTAGAGAGACTGTAGTACAGAGATGCACGAGGCTTTTATCAACTGCTTTCTTTTTATTTAGACGGCACTTTCAATTGCATTTACGTCTTCTTTCGGATGGCAGTCCCACGTGTATGTACAGAATGAGGATGGCAGATGCGAGATGTGGGCTAAAACTTGAGGCTGAATCCTGTTCCCTTGGCAGAGCTGCCCTTATTGGGAATATTCATGTGGAATCCAGCAGCAGCAAGGAGTCCCTCTTCCTCTCCGTCACCCTGAAACAAGTTCACAATTTATTCAACGCCTTCTATTGGCCCAGAAGATCCCTATTTTGAGTACCTCGGAGAGAGCTAGTATTCTTCGCTCTAAGCAACTTTCCGAGGTACCTTTTTTGCTATCTTGCGATTCACCCCCACCCAAAGTTACTACATCAGTCAGTTGTTAAGCTTCCAAGCGCTGGCGGTGAGAAGAGATTCTACTGTGGTTCTTAGGTGAACACAAAGTTTGCGCAAAAAAGTGTTGTTTGAAAACAGTCCTTCTCCGCTATCTGTGGAAAGTGCTGCTGGCTGCGCTAAGACCGCTATCTGCCCGTACCTGCTCACGTGTGGGTGGGGAAGGACCGTTTTCGAACGACGCTCTTTCGTGAAGCTCGTCAACTGATAGATTTAACATCGTTGACCCTCCCTACATTGAATTTAATCATAACTATTATAGAACATTATTGACAGAGACTGTCGGAATTAAAGCAAATATTGGTAAAAGTAGTTCTGATTTGTTGCTTATTTGAAAGCCATATGCACACAACACTGTGCAATGTCCCATTTCTAATGTGTGCATAATAATAGGTACTGTGTTATTTTAGACCGGCTCAAAATCATTTCCTTAATCCTTAAAGTCTTCCGGTCTAAAACTACATTATATGCAAGATAAAATGTCGCAACATTTGTATGAACTGAAGTGAGATATTGTACAAATATTGCGAAGGAAATACACGCAAAAAGAACAACTATAGATTTCATGGGAGACATAAGATCTCATAGCCGAGATAGCATTTGCATATGATGATTGGTCCAAAGATTTTTTTGTTAACGTCCTGACTGCCTTTGATGACTTCATAAATATCGTAAATGTTTTTATAATCTCTCGCTTCTTTCATTTTCAAATGATGTCGGTTACAAGCAGTTGGTAGCTTTGAACATTTGAGACCATAATCTTACCTCGTGGAACAAGCAAAGCTAAAGCTTGATGGCTACAATAAACTCACTGGTAATTGTTGCCATTTGGGTCCATGCTTCATTTGTACTTTTCAAAGCATCACATTGAAGGCATGGTCCAAATCGGCCGAAATTGAAGCTTGCAACAAGACGGACACTGGACGCAATACCCTAATACCCTGATGTCCGAACTTTCTTTAAAATCACGACACGCTTAAAGGGGTCATGAAACGATTTTCCTACTTCTTCCTTCTTAGCTTTAATCCTCAACTCAAATGCAAATTGTGAAAGCACGTCGTCGTGACATTCTTCGGCATTGGTGCAGTGACTCCTAGCTTTCACCCTGCTTTTTATGCACACCATAGAACTTGTCATTCCCCAGTGACGATAAGTTCTGTCAGGGCACTCATTGGCCACGAACGCGAATCCAAATATTTGTCGATGGATTGATTGTTGACGAGCGCATACGTCCGAGTGACGCAGTTCTCATGTCCAATGCGTGAGCTGGGCTTGGTTGACGTCGGGTTGGCACCGCTGACGCGCTTTGGGAACCGCGGATGTATCATAGTAAAAAGGCGGAAAGCTTTCGAAGGAAAAAAGGTACAAAATAGTCCGCGATATTTTCAAATGTTCGTACCAAAAGCTGGCTTTTGACTTTCTGCCCTCTTTCTTTTGGCCAACTAAACGATATGCGATTAGTAAAGTCACAATATAAAATCATTTATCCCAGCCCGAAATTCCTTTCATGGCTCCTTTAAAGGTGATTAGGACATGCCAAAAATAACATGAGATAACTATACTTGCTAGGACACATTGCATGTTCCTATGTTTTTGCTATAATTGTTTCAAAACTGGCGTGATAGTTTTGTGGATAAGTATGTTTATATGCGGGACCCTTAGATACACCCCATTCGGGAAGTTTGCCAAGTTTGGTGGGTCAGTGACGTCATTCATCCGATGCACGGCGTCCTCACGCGCGCACTTGTGGATTTGGCTTTTTCTGCGTCTCAGGCTTCAGCTTCCTTTTTTACCCTTCGCGTTTCGAGCACGGAATTTCGAGACAAAGACATCTACGGCATCGTCCGCTTCGTTGGTGTCTTCGACACTGGTCGCAGCAGCGACGAGAGTGAACGCCAACGAGAGATGTTGGAAGCTGGTCATTTTGACTTGGACCTACTGGCGACCAGCTCCAGCGACGACAGTGAGATCGTCATGAACAAACTCACGTCATCCGTGACGATTTCATAAATGTGTGCAGGGTGGAAGGTCAAAGGGCAAGGGGGCAAAAGCGAGAGTAGCATTGGAGTAGCCGAGTAGCGTGGGCGTGAGAATGTGATTGCACTGTGGCGAGACGAGCATGGCAGGGCATGGGATGCCTCGAATGAGAGGAACTTCTGGTGTGACTAGCTTGGGCAGTGCTGCTTGGTCGCCAGATCAAAATTACCAATATTCGTAAACTGACTACTGCAATTACTAGAGCCCTAAAAAGGTGTGTAACTCGGTGTATATGCTAAGTAGCCCATGAGCATTCCATTCCAAAAATGATCTACCCATTTAATGTGTCCTAACCCCTTTAACAGTTAGGTAACTACAGCCCAAAATTGTTTTTAATATTTCAGTTACCGTATTTACTCGCGTATAGGTCGACCTGTTTTTCAAAAATCGCCTCATCAAAACTGTCGCGTATAGGTCGACCAATACAGTCGAGCCCACTTATAACGAACTTGATCGCCACGCGGCATTTGTTCGTTGTATCCAAAGTTCGTAGTAAGTGGACCACCTATAATACAGGCAAAAAGAGCAAGCGAGAAGAAAGTTAACTTTATTTTTGAAAAAAGTCCATGATGCAAGTCTGCTTCTTCAAAGCTGATCGCATCACTGCCGTTTCTAATTTTTCCAGCGCGGTAATATGTTCATCACCAAGACCTCTGCTGCACACGAGTTCCTTAAGCGACGCGATGTAACCGATCGCGGTTGAAGCGTTCACAGCAACCGGCGGTAGAGCAGCATCCTCGTCATCGTCCTCGTCGGTCTCTGGGCAGTCGGGAAGGGCTCGCACTTCACGCACAATAGCTTCGTCAGTGCACGGCTCCGCGATGTCGGCGTCGTCATCAGCAGAAACGAAATCGTCCCAGGCAACGTCAGGTCCGGCCAGCTGCGTGTCAACGACGCGTTGCCACAAGTCCTCGTGCGACCGGCCTTCCTGTGGGTGATCTATGGCGTTTTCGGTGCCTGGGCCCATAAAACCCGCCTTGCGGAAGCAATTTGCTATGCACTCCGCGGTGAGTTCCATCCACGCCGCCTTCAACATCTCCACGGCGGCAAGCAAGCTGATGCGAACCGGCATGGCGGCATCTGGCCGATCAATTGCGATCAACAAGCGTTGGATGACGCGCCGCCGGTAGCACACCGTGAACGGATGAATAATGCCCATATCCAGGGGCTGAATTTTGCAGGTTGCATTGGGAAGCAAGAAGAGTACTGTCACCGCACTCAAGGAAAGCTGCACATGGTGCGCCGCACAGTTATCCAGCACGAGCAGGACCTTCCTGTTTTTTCGTGCCATGTCGCGGTCAAACTCGACAAGCCACTCGGCGAATAAGTCGCGGCTCATCCAGGCTTTCGTATTGTTCCTGTAGCGTACGGGCACGTAGCTTCCAAAGCATCGCGGCTTACGTGACTTGCCAATAACAAAAGGTAGCCGCCGGTCACTGCCGTCCATATTGGCACAGAGAAGAACGGTTATCCGCAACTTGCTGTTCTTACCTCCCGCGCACTTGTCGCCTTTCAAGGCATGCGTTTTAGATGGCAACATCTGATAAAACAACGCAGTCTCGTCGGCATTGTAAACGTCCCGTGGAGCATAGCTCGCAATTGTTGGGAGGTTGTCGAAAAGCCATGCATCGACGTCCTCGTTGTTCACAGACGCGGCCTCGCCGACGACCGCCTTGAAAACAATTCCGTGGCGAGCCTTAAACCGGTGGAGCCATCCATTGCCTGGGCTGAAATCGGGAAAGTCCAAAAGGAAGGCGAAGTCTTTAGCCTTGGAGAGCATCAGCGGTCCACTGATCGGAACGTTGCGAGACCGGGCGTCAGCGAACAACTTCAGCAGTGCGTCCTCAACGTCCGCTTAGGTCGCCTTCCGAAGGCGCTTTCTTGTCGGGTTGGCATTCACGGTAGCACCAAGAATCTTTTCCTTGTCCTTAGCAATGGTCGAAATGGTCGATTTCGACAGTCCGTACTTCTTGACCAAATCGCCGTTTTTTGCACCTTGAGCAAGTTCATTAACAATGGCCATCTTCGTTGCAATGTCGACTGCTTTCCTTTTAGCACCTGAAGAGGTCGGCATACAGTCCGCCATCGCACCAGGCGCAAGTCAAGCCCTTGGACTCGCGCGTTGAGGCAACCTTCAAATCCCCGATCCGGGAAGAGCACGAATGCGGCAACGATGTCAACGCATTGCCATCGCACAGAAAGAATCGACGGCTCAATATCCGCGGTCCGGGGTGGCAACGGAGCAGCAACAAATGGAGAACCGGTTTGGGCCGGTAAAGCGGGTAGAGCAGGCGCCGAACTTTCCGGATTGGTCGACGCAGATCACGTGGATGCATCCCGACGACGCAGGCGGCGCCACTTTCTCTTTCGTCACCGCGCGCGCGCGCTTTTTCGTTTTCATTTTTCAACGCGCGCTTTTTCTTTTTTTCTTTATTTTCTCCGCAAAGGAGCGTCCGGGGGACGCTCCGTGGGCGAAGTTCGTCTGCCGCGGGTTCGCAGTCGAGCGAAACCGCGCCAAGCACCGCCGGCTCGGTCAACTACGGGGGCCCGACAGCTTCGCGTTCGCTCTAACCGAGTGGTGAGGCCGCAACAGTTCGTTCTATGTGAGACACTGTGCCATTGCCCCAATGTATATTTTGACGGTAGCACCACCCTTGTTCGTACTAAGCGAGCGTTCGTTATATCTGCGGCCGTTATAAGTGGGCTCGACTTACGCGAATCCCGGTATTATATTTTTCAACTTTTTTTTTTTTTCGGGGGTCCCGAAGTTAGGGGGTCGACCTATA